GTAGATTCAACACTGACATTTTTTCTGAAAATAACAATCAGGGGAGATAAAGCACTACTCCAGAAAGGTAAGGAATATAAAAATATAAGTTTATGAAAGGTCGAACAGATGTAAATCCAACATTGAAACTTTGCAAACTGTGATGAACTGATATTTCACCAAACTTCCTCCCCAGTAAAGCTAACACCCGATGACAGAATTGTTGAACAAAGTACATTTTGGTTAGGAAACCCAAGCCAAACAGGTTTCCTTAATAAGGAAAGGAAATCAAGTAACTAAAAGTGTGTCAGGCTGACTTGTGGTTACTCTGCTCTGAAAGTACATTCTGTCAAAACCGAGTTTCCACAAGTCACACTTTATTAAGAAATCCCATTAGAGATGATACAACTGTATCTCACATCCCAGTGTGAGATACAACTCTAGAGTTTTGAAGACTAATAAAATAGTGGTTCTTGGCATATGAAGTACAGATTTTGCTGTCCCTCCTATCAGTTATACTCATCAGGTTCTGAATCTGTAAGGAAATGCCAATCTGAAACTCTGCGTGATTATCATTAACAGGCATTGAGGCTAGTTGTTTAGTTAATCCCCAGGAATTAATAATAATACAGTAATAATAATAATTCTTACATCAAGAACAACTTGTACTTTTATAGCTCTATCCACATAGGATAGGGTCTCAGAGTGCTTAACAGTGGAGGAGCCTGACTCCGAGTTGGGGGTGAGGTGACCGTAACCATGATCGAAAGGAAACTTTTCAGGCAGGACTTGAAATAGGGGAGAGAGGGGGCAAGGTGGAGGGATTGAGGGAGAGTGCTCCAGAGCTTCGGGGCATAGTGACTGAATGCGCGACCCCCGATTGTGAAGCAGAGGGCGCGAGGGACAAGCAGGAGGCCGTTGCCAGTGGAGTGGAAGCGCCAGGTGGTGGATTGGGGTGGTGGAGTGAGGAGGTCAAAGAGATAGGGAGGTGTCAGGGAGTGAAGGGATTTGAACACGTGTGAGGATCTTGAAATCGATCCATTCGATGATGGGGCCTGGCCAGAACTGACTGGTGAGATGGGGGTACAGAGTTTGGTAAGTACGCAAGCAAAGATTTGACATAGCACTTTTCATTTTGGGAAGACATCTCAAATCACCACCATAGGGGCTGCCCCAAGCTTTGCATTGTCAGCATATAAAATATAATGTGGGTTCTGTGGGTTAATGTTTTTAATAATCTTGCTTAAAGTTTCCAAATACTTTGCCCTGGTAGCATTGCCTCAGAGAGAAAGCAATGAAACATGGAAGCAGTCGCTGTGATTGCAACAGAGGAAATCATTTCAAATAGCTCATCATTCCAGTACCACAGATTAGTTTTAACATGATCAGTTTGCAAAGTTAAAGCATAGATATTAAAAATGTTGGACAGACACCAAAGTCTTTGAAAAAATGGGTCCACTGTTCATTTCATTAAGCAATATGTTGTGCAATTGCATCTTATAAATGCTTCCAATTACTGTGCAATAGTTAATTATTTGAGGCTAAATTACATCTTATACGAAACATTTTTGAGTCATACTATTTTTAAAAATCAATATACTGTAAAATTACCCTAAATGAAGGTGAACGATTATTATTATTATTATTATTATAACGATGCCAGTAACCAAGCCAAGGACTTCCTTACAACTGTATCTAATAATAATAATTCTTGCATTTGATATAGCATTTTGTGGGCGAAATAATTGAGCAAAATGTTCTTAACAAATTACATATTACAAATTACATACAAGTGATATACAAGTTATATATTGTGGTTGGGCATGGAAACAAGACATTTAGCCCAACTTGTGCATAATGGTGTAACTATTCAAAATGAACCCACATCACTTCTATTCCTTTCACCTATATCTCTCGTTTCCCTTCTCCCTCATATATTCAAATTGGTCATTCAATCCACGACTCCACGACTGTATGTGGGAAATTGCTGAGCACAATTGGCTGCCACATTTCTCCCACAAAATATGCAGTCAATTTACTCTGGAGTATATTACTTGTAAAGTCTCAACAACATGCTAAGGTGTGATATCAAATACAAGGATTATTATTATTAAATTGAAAAGGTATTTAGAATATAAGATCCTTTCATTCTTCTCAGGGTGCATAATATGTTTCTTTGGCTTAAAGTACTCTGGGGTCAAAGTTCTTGAGGATAAATTTCTGCTGGTCTAAATTTACACTATTCATATAATATTTTAGAGAATCCAGAATTTGGGCAAATTCCTGAATTCAATCTTAATACTGATGTTAATTTTCTGTAGTTCTTAAAATAAACTTACAGAAAAATCAACTTCAAAACTGAGCCAGTATGTAAGACTGGACCAAATTCTAATGCTGTAAAATATCACATAGAGTAATTACATTTATAGAGCGCCTTTCACGCTTTGGGATGTCCTCCCGACGTGAAAGGCGCTCTATAAATGTCATTTTGTTGTTGTTGTAATTCTAGATAGGATTTTCTCCTCAACAGTGCCTTATGAAGGGAAAGAAATACCACCTGGGTCCAGATTACTCTATTAATGTGGCGTTTCAGATCGTCAAGAATTGTACAAATTCTTAAATGGGGCTTCTTGGAGTCCTGTAGCTCAGTAGTTAGAGCACTCGCCTCGCAAGCGAGAGATCTGGGTTCGATTCCCAGTAGGGCGAAATGTTGGCAAGTTTCCTTACTCCACATGCCTGATAATAATCCCTCAAGAAAATAATAATAAATTGGTCACTGAATCCATGACTGTTTGTGAGACACTGCTGTGCGCAATTGGCTGCTGCATTTCGCCTACAAATATACAGTCAATTCACTTTACAGTACATTCTGTGAAGTGCTTTGAGATGTCTAGAAGACGTGAAAAGCGCTATATCAAATGCAAAGATTATTATTATTATCTTTATTATTATTTAATTTTGAAGTCAGTTTTCTGTAAGTTCTCTTAAGACTCGGGAGGAGGCAGACAACTTGATGTCCACCGGTCCACTGACCAATGCACAGAAGCATATTAAGTTTGAAACTAGTTGAAAAGAACAGTTTGACACACTGCTTGACTTTTAGGATCCCATCTATTTCCTGAAGGTCGTCAGCAGGGGAAGAGAGTGGATTGCACGCGCTTGGCAACACATATCCCTTGGCATTCATGAATAGGAAAGGCATTTACAGGCTGAAAATCCAGGAGGTGAGAAATGTTTCACAGACATCAGTTTTTCCACAGTCCATTTTAGTAAATAATATACTGCTTTTGTAAAGGGAGCATTTTATATATAAACAGCTACTTTCTAGGGGTGTCACATGTTTTGCATATTTTCTGTTCCTCTCAGAGCCCTCACCTGTTCTGTGGGCGCTTGGAGACATTTTGATGTTGTGGTAACATGCTATAGCAAATGCAAGGATTACTTTTATTGTATTACTACTGTTGCCAAACAGACAGACCCTAGCAGAGGAACTGTACAATTTATGAGCATACGTGCATGCAAATGGGTCGTTTCAATCATTTCAGCATAGTTATAAAATAATTACAATGTTTGTACATTGTAAAAGATAATCAGACACAATTTGTAACTAAAAATAGAAACCCAGGTATTTTTCAGATTTTTTCAGCGTGTATTTTTGTGTAAAAAAAGGGAAAAAATAAAGGTAAAGGTGACACAGGTAAATTCGGTAAAAAGTGAGATTTATTTTGGAACGTTGAAAATTCAGGAAAACAAGTCAGATACTAACAATTGTTCTATTCATGAACAATATTGGGGGATTGATTATCCATATTAATTGTAATTAAGAAAACAAAGCGAATAATTGACATCACATAAAATCCAAATCGGCTACAGCACTAACTAAAAAAATTGGTTCCATCAGAAGTTATAACATCATTGTATGACCACCCTGTGCCTGCCCTTCTCTTTCTCTCTCTTTGACTCTTCTCTTACAGTCTCACTCACATTCTCACTCAGTCTCTCCTTCTCTTTCTCTCCTCTCTCTCTAACTCTCAATGTTTCTGCTTCTTTCCTATGACTTTTGTTTTATTTCTTTCCCTAACCCCATACAAAAGTTGTTATTAAAATCCTACCTTTGCACTCCAGCAAAAAAAAATCAATTTGCACATGTATGGTCTCACCATAGAAACTTCACTGCACTGCAGGAATTTTGATCATAATCCTGGTAACTGACCCTCCCAGAAATTGTGTGTGTGGGTTTCAGGTCAGGATCAGGATAGATTGTAATGCCATCCCTCTGCCCACCTGCCATGGTCAGATAGTCGCTGATATTTGCTGTCTGGGCTCATACAAGAAGAGTGGTCATTTGGTTGAGGAACCAAAGATCTAATTACACCTATGGAACTGTATCCAATATAAATTACCACATTCAAGAGAGGAGAACACTGGAAATAGGGAGAATAGAAATACCAATACAAATATAAAACATTTTGTGCTGTGGCTGGGTGTTGCAGTGGGTTATTCACAGTCTATTCCATTTTTCTTTGTACAATAAATGACAACGCATCTGGAACCTAATATTTCTCATGTTCTTGAGCGAACAAACGTTTTGTTAAAAATTAGGCTGGGCAGAAGTTTGGAAAATATTCTTTAAATTTGGTCTTAATTTAGAAGCCAATTTTCCACACTTCTTTTTTGTTTCTGCACAAAATTGGCTTCTAAGTTAATACTGAACTTAAAACCTTTTTCCCCAAAATTCTGAATTATCCTAAAGGTTGAGCCAATTCAGGGTCCATGATTTTTCAGAGATCATAAAGGACTGTGAATTCCAGACAAGTTAATAAAATTGCAGAAATATTAGAAATACATAACAGGTCAGTCAGAATCTGCAAGAGAACAAGTTTACATTTCAGATCAGATCATTCATCAAAAGTCAGAGACTCATGGAGCTGCTGTAAATTTCCAGTACCTCCTGTTTTATACCACAGCGGAATTCATTGGCTTTGCCAAACATTGGTCAGACCGATAGAGAATCTGATGCTTTAATCTTTAGGGTCCTGGCAAAACACACACTCTGGGTTTGAGTCAACATACTGCTCCACTTGGATTGTGATGGAGTAGAAGTTGAAGCTGTCAAAAACAGCCTGTGTAATTTCCTTAAGCACTTCCTGAGGATCCAGTGCGTCATCTGTAAGTGAGAAGAATTGTTTTTATACATTTCTCTCTCTCTCCCAAACCCTTCAGGCTCCTATTCCCATCCTGGATGCCCAAACAGCAGTAAAAGGCATTTATGACTTAAAATGTCACATCCTTGTGACTTAAAATGCCTATCTACCTCCATCTTCGAGAGTGGTGGGGGGGGGGTTCAGCCACTTGGTGGCTGCTCTCTGGAAATCCATTCCCAGGTTTCTTCGACTTGCAATTCTCTCCCTCTCCTCTTTCAAGGTAAAGTACCTCTTTGCCAGCGCTTTTTGTCATCTATCTTCTTGTCACGCACCTCCCCCCCACCCCAACAGCTCCCACACTCAGCGTTGGTGCCCAGCCAGAATTTTCAAGCCCTTTGGGACATCCTTCCGATATGAAAGGCTCTTTATAAATATAAGTTGTATTATAGTGTATTTTCCCTTTTCTCCACATTTTCTGAAAGTGTTTTATCCTCTGTTTTCTTCTTCTCTGGGATACAGTTCCATAGGTCCATGCTATAAGCGAGGGCAGTATAACATAACAAGGTTCCCATGTACATATTGAGACAGACAGAATCAATCAACTGATATAACTGTTCATAAGCAATTGCTTCAAAGTCATAAAACATAAGATGTCTCACAACTAATAACCAATTTTATTGAGATTCAACTTCAACTTGAGAGCTACTTCCAAGCCCTCTTTTCCAGTCAATTTCTCAGTTTCAAATATGATCTGTGCTAAATGCAGCAGGAAAGTTAGGTGGTAGCGGGAAAGTTAGGTAGTAGGAAAGTATAGAGACTGATCTCATAGTCAGAGTGGGAATCAGGTATTAGGAGAGTCGGGGCACTGTGCTCAATGGTGAGTCTGAGGCTCATGGTTCACTGCCTATGATTGGGGTTCACAGACTAAAGACTTTTAATGAATGAAATATTATAAATGACAGTATCCCAATATCTTACCATTGAAAAACGTGACCTGCGAACTGCATGCATAATATGTGACTTCAAGGTTACCACCATTGATACCAAGTCAGGGTGAGAGATCATCTTCGGCCCATTCAACATGATAAATATCACATCACTATGACCTCTGAATTTCTAGTTATATATACGTATAATAAATGTTGTACTTGGTGACTGAATGAGTCCAGAAGTAGGGATGATATATATGTATTTACTGACCTATGGTAACATGTGCTGACAGGAGGTTCTGGTTCATGGTGAGGGCCCAGAGATGAAGGCCATGCACTGTTTCCACTCCCTTAACTCTTAGAATCTTTTCTTTCACGGCAGTGTAATTCAGTCCTGTTGGTGTTCCTGAAGCAAATCAGATATAGAGAGAACTTATAGTTATAAAACGCATATAACATCAAAACATCTGAAAGCCCTTCACAGTAATTACTGACATGTGTAGTGCCTTTTTTTTATTAAGCAAATGTGGTAACTAGTGGACACTGCCCTAATCTAATTGTGCAGCTTCAGCAATTTAATAGTAAGAATCCTATAATAATCCTTACATTTAAAATAGCACCTTTCACATTAAGAGAACATCTCAAAACACCTCACAGGAATCACCGTAGAATTTAGTGACTGTGTATTTTGTCGGTGAATGCAGCAGCCAATTTGTGCACAGCTATATCATTCCTGAAGTGAATGACCAATTTTTTTTAGGGGATTATTGGCCAGGACACTGGGAGAAACTCCCTTCTCTTTTTGAATAGTGACATGGGATCATTAACCCCCACCTGACCTTGCAGGCAGGACCTCGGTTTAATGTCTCACCCAGAAGTCGGAACCTCCAACAATGCAGCACTCCCCCAGCACTGTAATTGTGTGAGCTCAACACGGGGGCTTGTACCCTGACTCAGAGGCAAGCCGGCAACCAACTGAGCCAAGCTAATATCAATAAAGCTGGTATCTCATGCAGCAGCACTGGAACTCTGCACTCAATAATCAACAACAACGGCAACCCATTCCATGGTCCTGACAAACAAACATGGAGATTGTCAGAATTTTTAAGCTAGCTTTAAACCCAATCATTGTGCTAAAATCCACAATGGGGTGGGGTTGAGAGAATACAAGATCAGGGATGGAACATTGGAACGTCACTTCCATGGCCAGTGCTGATACACTCATTACAGGTTGCATTTTTCCCCATCTCAGTGATACTCAAAACTATTTGTGACCTGAACATATTCCAACTCAATGCCACTGGCTTTAGTGGAAAGGCAGTGTTGCAGAAAAATGCAGGAATTACCTTCCATTAGCACCAGCAAAATATCCCGGAGAATGGTGATAGTTGTTGCCAGCACAAACAGAGAGAAAATAAAAGTGCAGACAGGATCAGCTATTTTGTACTCAGGCTGGAAGACAGAATACAGATATAATTAATAACTCAAATGTGTTGTTACTTTGATATTTCCGTAAATTAAGGGAGGATTTATTAATGGCAATTTAATGAATGCAACTTTACTTGGGAAATTAGAGCAGCTTGTTTTGGGTTGAGAAAAGAAATGTACGAAAGCAATCCTGAATCCCTTAAAATATTTTTGGGAAGGAGAACAGGCACACTCCAGAAATTATGTCGATTTCAGATGTCTACACTATGTATATTTACAACATATTAAAGTGGCAACAGATCTGTCAAAAGTGTTAGCATACATAAAACTGTGCAGTCACTAAAAGCTGCAAGGTGGTAGAGGTCTCTTTAAGAGCTAAAAGCAATGCAAAAAAGCAGATAATTTTCACACATCCTTCCACCCCAACTCTCCATACTAATTCCAAGTACACAGAGAATAAGCAGGGGAGTTGTAAAAATCAACAAATTCTGGAAGAAGTGGTCCAGTTCAAAAGAGATCCTCAAGTGTCATGAACAACTAACATGACATTCAAGTAACACAATTTTCAGAGTGTTTTCCATAGTCATCAAGGAATCCCGCACATAGTATTTAGATTAAAAAATCACACTTATCTCCTTCAAAGTGGCAAGAAATTATAGCCCAATAGCCCTTGCTTCCCATACCCTGATTGACTTGGCAGCCAGACACTTGCCGTACGTACACTACACCCAATGATGAATGCTTTGCATGGAATTTGGTTGAAAAACATGTTATTTTCATATTGTTCAGCACCGGACTTTTGATCCCAAAATATTTGATTAGATTTCTACTATTTAACTGCTATTATTTGCAGTTATTTAACGCCACATTTTATTAGTCAGTATTGCCCCCTTTTCGATTTTCCTGTATGCAGTTTATTTGACTGTCTCCACAAGCCATGCCTTCAGTTCTTGCCCACATGTCTTAAAATGTGTGAGAATGGCCAAGATTAACTTTGCTTCTCGTCAGGAAGTAATGGTGAAATGGTGGATGTATTTCATTTCAGTACACCTGTCTGCTTGAACTGTATGGAACAGCCAGTACCTGTATTTTGTCCTGCAATCTACCAACTGGAGAGAACACATTGTACCACTGTGGGTTATACTAAAAGAATGTACTAAAAAGGCACCAGTGCATTGCCTGAAGTGGATATTTTTCTAAACCACATTGATTAAGTCAATTGACTGGTATTGCTTATTAGATAGCTCTAACCCAACTGCTCCTCCTATGTTGCAACCAGCACAGGCTATCTACTATTTCCATCTTCCATACAGTATCTGCTCCATGTTGCAAATCAGATACTAACTTGTATGTTAGCTGTTTGCAGCAAAATTTACAACCTACTCCAAAGTAACACCTGGCAAGTGTATTCAGATTGTCAACAATGTGTCATTGAGTTTGAATATACTCAGATCATAGTTCTGTAAATTAGTCAAATTTTGAATCCACCCTGTAGATGAAACTTATCAACTCATATCTCTCTCACCACAATACCACCCTTCACTCTTTCCTCTCCAGCCCTTCACTCCCTCCTTTCCAGTGCCAAGTGAAAACTGACCTTCAAATAAATGATGAGTGCACTAATAAACACACTGATGCTCTGGAAGAGGTCTCCCACTACATGAATGAACGCAGCCCGAACACTGGCGTTTGGTTGATGGCTGTGATCAGATTCGTCTAGACGCTCATTCCTACTTTTTCCATGGCTGTGCCCATGACCACCTTCATGGAGCGCAAATCCCATTCTGGAAAATACAGTTATTATAACTTTACTTTTGAATTACATTTCAAAAATGGATCACATTAAATATTGAAATCGATTTTTCTGCTGTTTCTTTTGAAGAGCCATGGAAAACGGGCATTTAAATGTAGATTGAATTTAGACTATTCCACAATGTTAATCGTTAAGGCAATGGAGATTTAAGGCTCGAGACCATGAGATATTTCTGACCTGCGGTATCTTGCCTGAGGGATAACTTATTGTGTGTGAGCCTGGACTGTCAGTATCGATGGGCTATTCACCCAGAGGGAGCTGGGCAGAGTTGCTATGATAAAGCTCAATCATATTTTAACTCACAGGTCACACTTCTAACATGGTTACCAACTATACATCAGAGGCAGAAATCCTAGCTAAATGCCTCCCCTTCCTAGTCTAAAGCAATTGGAAGTGCCCCACTGGTCCTGTGAATAACTGACGAGCACTGGAGATAGATTAAATCGAGCATCTACTTTGTCTGGAAGGCTCAATATCACAATGGGGTGGCATATTTACCCACTGAGCAATCAGTGATAAATACTTTTTAAAAATAGTATTGTAAATATCGTTTGATTTCTTTTAAAAAAAAGTACACATAGAGAGTGCTGAAGAGCTGTAGAAAGGTAACTTACATTATATTTGCTATCACTGCACAGCTAGATGTTATAAGCATGATGACTCCATTAATTTCATAATCGCCACTGATCAGCCTCTTACAAGCAAAGGCCACCAATACTCCTGTCACAACCCAAATTGTGAAAACTGAAAAGAGGGCACCGAGAATCTCTAGGAAGGACAAAGTAGGACATCTTTTTATTTAATCATCATCATAATAACAACAATAATAATCCTTGCATTTGATATAGCGCTTTATCACGTCATTAAGATGTCACAAAGCGCTTCACAGAATATAGTGTAAAGTGAATTGACTGTAAATTTTGTGGGAGAACGCGGCAGCCAATAGCACACAACAATGTCTCACAAACAGTGGTGGATTGAGTGGCCAAATTATTACTTTTTTAAGGGATCATTACCCCCGGAAAAGTGATCCATCAATTGACTATATACCGGGTTCCTACTTACTGCTACATAAACAGATGTGTACGGAGGAAGAAAACTTTTCTAAGGTTTCGGCCTGCCCGGGAATCAAACCTAGGTCCTCTCATTTGCGAGGCGAGTGTTCTAACCAATATGCTACAGGACACAATCATTGAGGCTTAGACAGCAAAAAGAGCACAAGTCTGTCAGGAAATGAGCAGAGTCCATGTGAGAAGTGCTAAATAAATGCTGTTGAAATTGTTGTTAAAATATTGTGTGGTTAATCCTCTCATGAGAAAAAACTTGCATTTTTATAGCGCTTCATCAGTTTTTAAGATCTCCTCATATGAGGAGAGACATCATAGAGAGTGATGGGTGGACAGGAGATAAAGGCATGAACAATATCCCGGGCCCCCTGAGACCTCATCTCCGCGCCTCATACAAACTTGTGAGAGGTTGCGCAGAGAATGACCGGAAGAACAGTGCAGACGGGAGGTAAAACCTTAGGTTTGGTTTAGTTTGGTTGGTTGGATTGGGTTGGGCTGTTCTGCCCTCCTCTAGGCTGGGTTTAGTTCAGTTTGGTTGGTTGTTTGCTGCTGGTGGCACAGACAGTCACAGCCAGAACATTTGGCTCACTTGCTCTTCCATTGATATTTTTCTCTCTAACTAGGCATCCTATCCCCTTTTAAAAGGTTGTTGTCTGTAACTCGTACCTGCTCTGTACCATCCAAAATTTAATTTCTTTGTGACTGGCCTTGAAGACAACCACAATGAAAACAAGCTGATCAGGAAACTTATGAAGTCCACCAGAAGATGAGCTGCATCTGTCATAACAGCCAGACTGCTTGCGAAATAGCCACCTAAGAAAAAAGGAATAAAAGGCAAACAATGGAACTATTCCACTCGGTCTGGTAAATGTCACCACAATTTAATACTTGGCCAATATAATTTATTTAATGTGTATTAATGCAAATTGACATCTTTAGTCGGTTATTTCCAGTTAATATTTCAGTCAAGTAGCATTACATCCAGTAAACATACCCTTATTAAAAATATGTCAGAGAAACTCACATAAGTAGTCATATAGAAATATCAACAATCTTCTGGTATCTCACTCAAATAAGTGGTCAATGCATCCTGGAGAGTTCATTCACTTTTGGGATCAATAAAATCTGTATATATATTTATATTATATTTCACTCACAAATATAAAGTCAGTTCACTTTACAGTATATTCTGTGAAGCGCTTTGAGAGTCTAGAAGACGTGAAAAGCACTATATCAAATGTAAGCATTATTATTATATTATTATTATTCTATCTGGGGGGAGTGGGGAAGCAAGGTCTCATGAGGCTGAGTTAGCTCTGAAGAGGCCTGGGAAGTCCAAAATAGTTCAACCCAAAATTTGAAGGTATCAATGTCATAGATATGCCCTCAACTCTGCAAGACAAATATGTCATGGGTGAACTCAGCATAGATCAGATTTCTGACTTTCTGCTCTATAAGAATATAACAAAAGAAATGTTAGATGAAAAAAGACCAAAGTCCATCTTGTTTACCTTCCACCTTCTTGGCGGTTGCATGCACATGTGTGTCTTGAACTACCTATGTACTATATCCCATAATGTTATTTTCAAAAAGAAACCATCTAATCTGTGTTTAAAGAAATCAACACGTCCTGCTTGAAGCATCTCCCTTGGGAGCCTGTTCCACAGGTTTACCATTTACTCAATAAAATAGTGTTTCCGTAGATTCGTTCTGAATTTACTCCCCCCACCCTTCAATCGCAGGCTGTGTCCTCTGGTTTTACTATTCTGGACAAACTGAAACAGCCTGTCATAATAATAATAATAATAATAATAATAATAATAATAATAATAATAATAATCCTTGCATTTGATATAGCGCTTTTCACGTCGGGAGGACGTCCCAAAGCACTTCACAGAATATACTGTAAAGTGAATTGACTATATTTGTGGGTGAACGCGGCAGCCAATTGCGCACAGCAATGTCCCACAAACAGTCGTGGATTGAAAATGACCAATTTATTATTGTTTTGTTTTTTTGGAGGGATTATTATTAGGTGTGTGGAGTAAGGAAACTTGCCCAAGGTTTCGCCCTGCCTGGAATTGAACTCAGATCTCTCGCTTGCAAAGCGAGTGCGCTGAACACTGAGCTACAGGACTCCACAATGATCTATATTGGCAAGATCTATATTGGCAAGAATTGAAGTGATGGCAGTACGCAGTCTCATGTGGGTGAGGATACAGGTGGCAGAGTTTTGAATTGATTGAATTTTATGAATGATGGAGCTGGGGAGACCGGCAAGGAGGCCTTTGGAATAATCAAGCCGGGAGGTGACAAATGCATGGATAAGGGTTTTGGCTGCATTGAGTGTAAGTTACTGTCGGAGGCAGACAATATGGCGGAGGTGGAGAAAAGTGATCCTGGTCAAGGAACTGATGTGGAATAGGAAGAATAGTAGAGGAACAAACCTAACACATAGGATGCTCACAGGTTCAGGCTGGGGATTCACTGTATTTTTCCTATAATGAAAAATGATTGAACATTTGTCCTCCTGTTTCTTTAAGTGATGATTGCTGATGTAAAGTGTAACTTGCTTACTAGCTAGAAATGAATAATGTCTGTCTTTTCTTTATCTAATATCCTTGCTCTATATAGTATAGTTACACGGGAAAAGGAATGTTCAACAAGTAACCGGTATTATGTGAGAAATAAGACAAAGAAGTGGTGCCTGTGTATGATAACTAGGTGGCCTTGCAGAAAATCAAATAGATGGTGGTCATTGTTAGGTGAGGAGTAAAAATAAGAAAACAGTATCTATGAGCCAAACTAGATGGTCATGAAGGCCACGTCCAAAAACGTGTTTGTTCCTGTGTATAAATACTGAGCACTAACCAGCCTAAAGTTGGAACAGATGAAGGGAGAAAAGAAAGAAAAAACTAAGCAACAACTGAGAGGAAAATTATACTAATAATAATCCTTGCATTTGATATAGTGCCTTATTATGTCATTGAGACGTCTCAAAGCACTTCACAGAATATATTGTAAAGTTGATTGACTATATTTTGTGGACGTAAAGTGGCAGCCAATTGCACAGCAGCAATGTCCCACGAATAGTCATGGATTGAGTGACCATTGAGCGACCACATTTTTTTTAGGGATTAGTAAGTAATAAAAGAAAAAAAGAGATTAGTACCCATAAAAAGTGATCCGCCAATAGACTAACAACTGGGTTCCTACTTACTGCCAGGTAAACTCCTGCAACTGTGTATTCTGTTCTCTGGTTTGGTAATTATACCTTCCTTTGTCATGCACATTGCTCTATAAAGGTTGAAAAGTTCATTTTCACCTGTCTGTGTGAGCTTGATTGACTCCGGACCCTAAATCACACAAAGATTCACCAATTTTAGAGTCAACAATTTGATTTAAATACAAATAAATAAAATTAAAATATAGTGACAATTTGAATCAACAGAGTTTAAGGAGGTTCAGAGCTGTCGGTGAGAAGCTATTGATGGGAACCAAGGATTATAGCTTCTACCTTGTCGAGATTCAGCTGCAGAAAGTTGGCGTTCATCCAGGCCTTGATGTCTGACGAGAAAGAGGACAGAAAAACAAGAGGATCTGGGGTGACAGCCGGAGGAGGAGAAGACTTGGGTGCCATCTGCAAAAATGTGGAAGTTGACCCCATGTCTGCAGATGACATCAATTAGAGGGTGCATGTAAATGAGGAAAAGGAGGGGTTCAAGGATGGAGCATTGGAGTATGGTGACCCAATGGGGGTGGAAGGAATCAACATTTGCAGAGATGTAGTGATGGTGGTGTGTCAAGTAGGACACAAACAGGCGAGTGCAGTCCCAGGTAAATGAGGGAGGAAAGGTGGTCGAGGAGGAAGGCATGATCGACTGTGTTGAAGATAGCGGAAAGGTCCAGGAAGACTAGGAAGCAGATCTGGTCATTTGTGATTTTGACAAGTGCTGTCTCAGTGCTATGGGCAGGTCAGAACCCAGACTGGAGGGGCTCGAGTAAGGAGTGGAGGGAGAGGTGTGAGTGATCTTGGTTGGCAACAATGCATTCCAGTTCTTTAGAAATGAAGGTCAAGTTTGAAATGGGCTGGTAGCTGGTAGCAAAATTAGAAGGATCAGGATTTGTTTTAGGAAGAGAGTTAAAACAGGGGTTTTGATGGAGCTTCAAAGAGGGAGAAGAGGGATAGATTAACAAAGTCTAACAAATTGTCAGGAAATGCACACCAAAGATATTAGTGAAAAAACAGCAGATTACTAATAAATGCCTTTCCATTGCCTTTTACCTAAATATTGATCAGTGGTTTTAGCAGAAGAACTATGAAATCACTTTTGAAAATCACAAAGTTTATGAGAGATGCAATGCCCTGATTCTTGCAATTGATGTAAATGAGACTCGTACAGCCCAGGAATGCATCTGCTTTCCTCAAAGTTGAATATTGAATCCTGTCCAAAACCAAATGTGTATCACCCGAACCTGTTGGGTGCTCCGTTCCAAAGCATTGAAGGGCATCACACTGGAGTAGCTTAGCTCAGCATGATGCAGATCTTGTTACAGGAGAATTCAATATTTACAAATCCTTTGTGATTCCGGGGTGCAACTCCCATAGCATATAAAATTTCAAACATGCATGCACAGGCTCATCGGCTATAAACAAATAGATTTTCAATAATCATTTGCACTTGACACAGTGAGGATTTATTTGTAATATTTCCAAGCTAATATTTATTTGGCTAATTGTCACCTATGGTTTGTGAGTTCTTGCGTTATGATTTTGCCAAATTGGTAAAATCCTCCAACAAAGATAACACACAAAATCGTGACAGGAAATGACTTTCTGTTTTGTTAACAAGACTTTTTTGGGGACTTTGCAAGAATGACTGGTTTTCACCATACTGTATTTCCAGTCACTATTTCGCTCATAAGCTTTTTTTGGTTTCATTCTTATGGAGCTGAGTGAGGCTTAACATTTTACCCAGTCTTGCCCTGTAAAAGAATTTTGTTTTCAAATTTAAGACTGTGCAGAATTGTGGAAAATTCTTCAATTCAACCTTTATTTGGTTTTCCACTATTCTTAAAAAGAAATAAGTTCCAAAGTTAGGATGAATGTTTTTTCGCAATTTTACCCATTCTTAAATCCCATGATAAAATAGCCTTACAGGTTAGATAGAATTTTAGGCCTCCAAACCCATTATTTTTTTACTGGTGCACAATAACAAATTGGTCATTCATTTTATGGCTGTTTGTGAGTTATTGTTATGCATAAATTGACAGCAACGTTTTGCCTACAAATAGAAAGCTAATGCACTTCACTATGAAATCCTGTGAAGCACTTTGAGATATATTGATGAGATGATAAGGTGCTATGTCAAAAGCAAGGATTATGATCATTGCAACAAATAGTGCAAAATCTGAGAATTTATTGCTGAGCGTAACACCATGTAAATACCCAAGAGTTAAAAAATAAGTACATGAATTCAATAAATATCACATATGATGGGGAAAAAATGTGCTCATCTTTCAAATGGCACCTTGTAGCAGAAATGCCTCAAGATATAAAGTTGTTCTGCTTGCATATCATTCCAACTAACAAGAATTCGGTTCTGAGAGGATCGCAGGTCAGAGCCAAGGTTGCGTGGATAGGCATGTACAAGGGGTTGATTGGAAGAAACACAATTTACTTCCAGATTTACATGGTTCTAGAACTGTTCACATTGCTGTTTGCCAAAGAGCACTTTTCTAACCTCCATGTCAATCATTAATGCTTAAAAATGACTCGCACTCACCAACAATCTCCCCAATCATAAAGACCAGACAAATTGCCAAAGCTCTATAAAGCCTTATTTTAGATTTCTGTTGCTCCATCTTTCTCTTTTCAAGGGCATTTTTATTGTAGTGGCAATGGAAGAGTCCATTGGATGCAGTGCCAGGTTCTGGTTGATGGTTCTTCTCTAGATCCAGGGCTGTTTGTTGAAAGGATAGCCTGCAGGATTGTAAAGGTTTATAATTAAATCATGATGATGATTATCCTTCAGTTTATTTCCTGAATTAACTAAATTACTAATATGATGAACAGATTCCACAAATCAGTTTTTAAGGTAAACTTGAAAGATTTATTGTGACTTTATTATCATAGCACTTCAGGAAATGTTAATCTCTAACACATCAGTTTAGTGATCTACGGCTATGTATCCTTCAGCATTATGGGAATGTAATGTATCATTTTCAGAATCTAGGAAGAGTACTTCTATACTGGCCTCGTTCTTTGGTTTGGGATGTGCCAAGCAAAATAACAACAGCTTGCACTTACATAGCACCCTTCACCCGGGTAGCATGTCGGAGTGCTTAAAATGTATTCTCTTAAATGTATCATCCAGAACTCTGCAGCTTGTGTCCTCTCCCTCACCAGGCTCTGTGACCCATCACATCCACCCTCGCCCGGCTCCACTGGCTCCCCATCCCTCAGAGGATCAAGTTCAGAATTCTCGTCCTTACCTTCATTGCCCTCCATGGCCTTACCCTTACTACCTCTCCAACCTGCTAACCTTTATCAACCTGTCTGATTCCTCCACTCAGCAGGCTCCGGCTTGCTCCGTTTTCCCTGCCTGGACCGCCCCACCATCGGCAGTCGGGCCTTCAGCCTCGCTGCCCCCACCCTCTGGAACTCCATCCCACATTCCCTTCACCTTGCTCTGTTCCTTGCCTTCTTCAAGGCACGCCTCAAGACCCACCTTTTCAACTGCGCCTTCGGCCAGCTTCCTACCCTCACTGATCCTAACCCCTCTGGCTTGGGTCCTAATTCCTGACTCTGCAGCACCTTGAGACATCCTCCGACCGTGAAAGGCACTTTACAAGTGTAATTTTGTATTGTATGACGTAAAATTAATTAATTGAATATCAATAAATAACCTCAGGTGATGGCAGTTCAGGTCACCTAGTTATGTGGCCATACATAATTTGGTGAATGTTACTCTACACATCCTCTCTTGCCAATTTTTGTTCTTTATTTTTCTATCAATTCTGTATTTTATGGACATCACATGTGGCAGCTTTACTCGGTTGATAGCAATTTGGGTGAGAAACTTGTGGGTTCAAGCTCCACGTCATGACTTGAGCTCACAGTCTTGGCTTACAACAACAACAAGATTCCATTTATAGAGCGCCTTTCACGTCGGGAGGACGTCCCAAGGCGCTGTACAGTTGGGTCAGGACCCGAGCAGGGGGGAAATGGTCAGGGGGAGGGGATGGAAGGGAGGGAGCGAGGAGGGGGTAGAGAGTCGAGAGGGGAGCTGAAGGCACAGTCAAAGAGAAAGGTCTTGAGACCGGCCTTGAAGGAGGAGGAAAGGGAGGAGGCAAGGCGAAGGCACTGGGGGATAGAGTTCCAGAGCCTAGGGGCTGAGAGGCTGAAGGCCCGGCCACCGATGGTAGGGCGGTTGGGGCGGGGGATGTGGAGCAGACCGGAGCCAGAGGAATGGAGGGTACGGGCAGGAAGGTAGGAGGATAGTAGGTTGGAGAGGTAGGAGGGAGCAAGGCCGTGAATCGCCTTGTAGGTGAGGATGAGGATCTTGAAATCGATCCTCTGGGGGATGGGGAGCCAGTGGAGGCGAGCGAGGGTGGGAGTGATGTGGTCCCGAAGCCTGGTGCGGGTCAGTACACAAGCTGCAGAGTTCTGAATGACCTGCAGCTTGTGGAGGGAGGTGCCGGCGAGGAGAGAGTTCCCATAGTCCAGCCTTGAGGTGATAAAGGCGTGGACCAATTTCAGAGGTGTGAGGGGCTTATATTCATACTCTAGTACAGTTCTGCACTGTCAGATGTGCCAGCCTTTGGATGGAATATTAAACCTGGGTTCCATCTGCCTGTTAATATTGACATTAAAGACCTAATAACATTAGTTGATGAAAAGGAAAATTTCTCCCAATGTTCTAGCCAACATCTTCTGGATATATTCACCGTTCACCTCATGATTGTCTGAGGGACTTTATTGTGGGCAAAATGCTAATGTTTTGCCTACAAAAAACATTCACTACAACAACAACAAATTGGACTTATATAGTGCCTTTTACATCGGGATGAGGTCCCAACCACAATTGATGGTAAGAATTGTTTTTTATCTTAAATAGAACTCATAGCAGAGTGGTTAGCAAGCTAGCCTCGCAAGCGAGAGGACCTGGGTTCGATTCCTGGGTGGGGTGAAACTTTAAACAAGTTTCCTTCCTCCACACGCCTCTGTTTACCAAGCAATAAATAGGAACCTGGTTGTTAGTATATTGGCGGATCACTTTCCAGCAGAAATAATCCCTCCCCAAAAAATTTAGTCAACCAATTCACGACTGTTTGTGGGACACAGCTGTGTGTAACTGGCTGCTACATTTCACCCACAAATTACAGTCAGTCCACTTTACAGTATATTTTGTAAAACGCTTTGAGGTGTTCTAACGACATGATAAGGTGCTGTATCAAATGCAAAGATTATTATTATTACATGGTGGTTTGTGGCAGTTTTATCTTCAAAACACTTAATCCTGCTCCTTCGGCAAAGTTCATGATTTTATTTCATTCAATAATTGGTCGATATTCTATCGTAGACAATGTCCATTGGGATGGTAGTTTAGCATCACTCAAAGATAGCCATGGAGGAATCTTAATTCAATGAACAATGAATTTATATAGGGCATAAGGATAAAAGGCATTAATCTTATCACATGGCAATTTGACTGGATTTTCTTTGCTTTCATTGTGAACCACTGGGTTGAACCCATGCGTGACTTGTATCTGGTAAATGAATAGCTAACATTTATAAGCCTTCACAGCTTCACAAACTGCACAGATGCTAGTTTCTCATCAGCTCTATTAAGACAAAAAGCCTCTTAAAGCTTATAGGTTTCTTAGCTGTTTTATGATACCAGAACCTATGGAAAGATGAAGTTTTGAGAGTTATGTATGATGTTTCACCGTTTGAGCAATTGCTACCTATTTTCTCTCTATGTTTTAGTGTTCATTGCATGTTTCTGTAAACAAGGTGAGTTGCAACAAACTGTTTTATAAGCTGAGAAGCGTGAACAAAGCAAGTTGAACAAGTTTGGTCAAGTTGAAACATAGAACAAAACGTATGAGATTAATGCAATAAAACATTTTGAATTTCTGATTATTGTTAAATATATGTATAAAAACAAAATTAAACTGTTTCAGCTCTTTAACAGAATGATGGAAGGTAAGGAACCCTGAATTATTTATAACTCAAAACTGATCAAAAGCACTTTGATCTCTCCCGATAATCACACCCACCAAAAAAAATTGGTCACTCACTCCATGGCTGTTTGTGGGACATTGATGTGTGCAATTGGCTGCTGAGTTTCACCCACAAAATACACAGTCAAGACACTTTACAATATATCTTGTGAAGTGCTTTCAGACGTCCCAAAGCAATAAGACACTATATCAAATGCAAAGATCTAATCTAACATTCGCAAGGACTTGTTATATCAAAACATCTATGTGAAACAAATAGTTTGTGTTGGGATCTGGAATGGTGGGTGAATTGCTCTCCCATCCCACATGCAGATCTTGACCCGTCGAGGTGTGGGTGCACTCCAGGGCCAGTTTATGAGACAATTCCCTTCACACATTGATTGATTCACTTGGGAAAAGCCCACCTGCATTCCCTCCACTCATTCCCTTAGATGAAACCCGTCCTGGATGTCAATGATTTCAATGCTGTGGCAGATTCTGAAGTTGGCTAGTTCATTTGGGAATAGATGGCTCATACATGTTTTTTTTCTATATACCTTTTGAACAGTGCCTGCTGCTCTCTATCAGACCAGTAACTCTCATACTTTCTTACCCAAGGGTAAACCAGTTTTGACAGATTTTAGCAGAGCGTTCATTTTATTCTTGCTATTCTATCAAATATTGAAGGTGACCCAGTACAATATAAAGAAAGTCATTTTGGGAGCTCATGCTTGAGACTTTGCTTCACTCTTACAAGAAGCACTATCGCAAAGATAAGCTGAATAGCAATTTTGCAAAGAAAACCTGAAGCTCAACCTGAAACGAATGGGACTGAAAAACAGTTGGGATTAACAAAATTACGAACAACAACAACTTGCATTTATATAGTGCCCTTCACACAGGGTAGGGTCCCAGAGTGCTTGACTGTAGCTGAGCACAACAATACAGCAAATCTAGCAAAGCTGCAGGTCTGTCCCTACACTGAGCTGTTATAGTCTATATCCCTGTAACTTTCTGTCCAGTCAGTGAGAGCACAGCATTGCTTATGGAGTCCTGTAACTCAGTGGTTAGAGCACTTGCCTTGCAAGCGAGACACCTGGGTTCAATTCCAGGCAGGGCGAAACCTTGGGCAAGTTTCCTTACTCCACACGCCTAATAATAATCCCTCCAAAACAAAAAACAATAATAAATTGGTCATTTTCAATCCACGACTGTTTGTGGGACACTGTTGTGTGCAATTGGCTGCCGCTTTTTGCCCACAAATATACGATTAATTCACTTTATAGTATATTCTGTGAAGCGCTTTGAGACGTCAAGAAGATGTGAAAAGCATTATATCAAATGCAAGGATTATTATTTATTGATTTCAAATAAAAGAATAATCTTCGCTTTTCATATCGTGCTTTTCAATTTGGGAACAACAACAACAACAAAATTACATTTGTAGAGCATCTTTCATGTCGGGAGGATGTCCCAAAGCACTTCAGGTGGATTTCTTGTAAGTTGTAGTAACTGTGTACTTTGTTGGATAAATGATAAATCTTACCTTTCACTGGTAGACTTATAAATCTTGGTCTCTGAATCGCTCACTAAGTGCTCTTTTTCGATGTCCTTACTCATGCTATATGTTTGATTGTTCAATATTGCATTAAAAAAAACGCCAGCAAAATGATCCTATTTTCAGAAAAATTTTTGAAGGTTTCACTGTGTAGTCTCGAATCTTTTTCTAATTTAGTTTTTTTCAGATTTACTTTTCTTAAGTTTCTTCAACTTGTTTTACAAATGACATAACGTTTAGGTTGGCCCTTATTCAATCTTTCTCTTTTTCCAATTAAATTGTCTGATCTCTCTCTATATAGATACAGATATATAGATATATATACACACAAACACATTGAATCTACCCTCTGTCTGGCTGTGCTTTTAAACCATCCACATGCTGCTAGAATCGGGTGCAGAGGATTCAGAGCCAAGTGGAAAATATAAGAAACGTCAGCCCAAAAATGCAAAGTTTAGCTTCGGGTGAAATTTGTAGATCGTGTGCAAAAAAAAAAGAAAAGCTGCAATTATATTTCAAGGCCATTTCATAAAGTAACAGGCAGATCGGATTACATTTGAATCGGAGAGCTCTGTCTAAAGATTGTGATTTTAAAAAAATGCTCCTTCCCTAACTCCATCCAGTCGCTCCTCACCCTGGAATCGATGCTGATAAAGTGATCACAGGTCTGATTCTTTGCTCTGACAAAGTTAAAAAGGGGTAAGAGGGGAAATCGAGGCTTTTATACTTTTAAACACAAATTCCAACCACTTTGGTGAGTGTGAGGTTCAAATGCAGAAGCTCATTTCTGCTTTTGTTGCCAAACAGCCCCTCCAACCTGACTTGAAGTTCTGCTGAAGTTCTGGAGCCAGGAGCAGTCTCTCCCTGACACACACAGGGCACCCCTCTGTGTACACCTGTAAGCAGGTTCATTCATTCAGTCATTTTACGATAACGCCCCCCTCTCAGGGTCACCAAAAAGCAATTGGTATTATATTGATTCATTGTTAAAAGACTTTAGTCAACACAATTACAGTTTAAATTAATCTTTACTATTGCATCAGAACACTTCTATGTTTTCACCCTAAACCCATCGTGGTTTGTACTGTATCTCTCCCACCTGAACCCCCAAAACTCAGTGAACACTGAGTTTGAAAATTATGAGGGGATTCAATAGGGTGAAGAAAAAGAAACTATTTCCACTGGTGGGTGGGTTGGTAACTCGAGGACACCGATTTAAAATAGTTGTTGGAAGAAATCAAGGGGAGGTGAGGAGAAATTTTTTCACACAGCGAGTTGTTCGGATTTGGAATACATTGCCTGAAAGGGTGGTGGAAGCCGATTTGATAACAACTTTTGAGAGAGCAGTAAATAATTATTTGGGAAGGACAAGTTTGCAGGGCTGTGGGGAGAGGACGGGATTGAATTGGATAGTCCTTTTCAAAGAGCTGGCACAGACACGATGGGCCGAATGGCCTCCTCCTGTGTATAATTCTATGAACACATGCTTCATGTTATTCCATCAGGGGTGATGCTGTGACTACAGGAATGTATGGTTGTACAAATCAAAATCATGAAGAGTCCTCCTGTGAGCAACAAAGTGCTGAAAGAGATCAATATTATAGGTAGCAGGGCAGTTTGAGGGGCAACAAGACCCGGCAGCACAGTGCCAACACCTCCAGGAGGCTTATGTGTCCTTTCATAGAGTTACTTCCAACCAACATCAGCCCTTCTGGACATCTTCCAATCCATCCCTGCCTATTTCCCAGGGCTGAGGGCGCTACATGGGAGAGAGAAGGCTGGTACTGTGTGTGTGAGAGAGATAGAGATATAGAGAGAAGGGCTGGGAATGTGAGTAAGAGAGAGGGGGAGAGGATGCTGGCACTGTGGGTGTATATATGTGTGTGAGAAAAGGCTGGCACTGTGTGTGTGTGTGTGAGAGAGAGAGAAAGGGAGAGAGAAGACTGGCACTGTGTGTGTGAGAGAGAGAAGACTGGCACTGTGTGTGTGAAAGAGAGAGAACTGGCACTCTGTGTGTGTGTGTGAGAGAGAGAGAGAGAAGGGCTGACACCTTTTATGTATGTGTTGTAATACTGGAAAGAACTAGATAGAGGAACTGTGTGTAAGCTACATCCCTCAAGAGACAGGGAAAAGTACCACTGGATGGCATTCAATTATAATCAGCCATTGACCTATGCAGGCAAGAGTATTGAAATGATTCTCCTTCCGATCAAAATAAATGTATAGACCTTGCTTGATATATATATTCGATTGGGTAAATTTACCAACCAGTGATCTGAAAACTTCCATTTCAGGGAGAAATAAACCACAAACATTCTCTGAACTCATATTTGATTACATGTGGCAATCTAATAGTATAAACATTGCAGTCACTTTCATGCATTCATTGAGAGTTCCAAAGGAGTAGACGATAGATAGATAGATAGATAAGAAAAGGCACTCAGCTCTGTAAATCTGCCCTCCTGATGAGTGATCTCTGCATCCTCAGAGTTTTGTATTGCTCACTGATTAAGAAAATTACAAAACCCCTTGAGGGCTCAAAAGGTGAATGCATCGTAAACTGGGTCATACAGACCTCTTGAACCAGCTGCTATGAATTGACAGAGCTATAAAGATTGTCTCCCATTCCCTTGTTCCCTCTGTAAAATTAGATAAGTAACTGGCTGTTTTAATCCAGTTCCCCTTCCAAATACTCTGGGAAGACTAAATCATTCATTCAGGGGGTCAATTTTGTGCTCTACCAGTTCCCAGCACATTGGACCCTAATTTAAGTTATAAAAATCTGTGTATTTGATATAGTACCTCATCATGTCATCAACAACAACAACTTCAACAACAATTTGGATTTATATAGCGCCCTCCACGCCGGACGGTGTCTCAGAGCGCTTCACAAGTAACGGATCCCGGGACCGAGCCAGGGGGAGGAAGGTGACCAAAGGCGCGGTCGAAAGGAAAGGTCTTCAGCAGAGACTTGAAAATAGGAAGAGAGGGAGCGAGGCGAGGGAGTGAGGAAGGGAGTTCCAGAGCCTCGGGGCATATGGCTGAAGGCATAGCCGCTGAGGGTGGAGCGGTGGACTCGGGGGACGAGGAGGTGGCCAGACCCGGAGGAACGAAGGCAACGGGTACTGTTTTGAGGAGAGAGGAAGTCAGAGAGGTAGGGGGGTGCAGAGAAGTGCAGGAACTTGAATACAAGGGTGAGGCTCTTGAAATCTATCCTCTCTGGGATAGGCAGTCAGAGCAGTCTGGCAAGGACTGGGGTGATCGGAGAGTGGACTTTCGTGCGGGTGAGAATGCAGGCGGCAGAGTTTTGAATGATTTGAATTTTATGGATGGCAGTGGATGGGAGACCAGCGAGGAGGGCGTTACAATAGTCCAGCCGAGAGGTGACAAAGGCACGGACCAGCGTTTCAGCGGCTTTTGGGGAGAGGTATTGGCGGAGACGGGCGATGCGTCGGAGGTGGAAGAAAGTGGTGCTGGTGAGGGACCGGATGTGGGGGAGGAAGGATAATTGGGGGTCGAACCTGACGCCTAGATTGCGTACGGGTTCAGAGAGTTTTAGGGGGAGGTCGGGTAGGTGAAGGAGGTGAGAGCCATGAGATTTTAGACGTTGATGAGAACCAAAGAATATGGCTTCTGTCTTGTTAACGTTCAGCTGAAGGAAATTTGCGCTCATCCAGCCCCTGAGATCGGACAGGCAGGCTGACAGAACATCAGGGGACTGGGGGTTCGCAAAGAGAGGTGGAAAAATATAGTTGGGTATCGTCGGCATACGTGTGGAAGTGTACCCTATGTCTGTGGATGATATCCCAAAGAGGGAGCATATAGATCAGAAAGAAGAGGGGGCCAAGGATGGATTCTTGGTGTACCCCGCAGGTGACCAGGTGAGAGCGGGAGGAAAAGCCGTTTGTCCAGATTTACTGCTGGTGGTTTGTGAGGTAGGACTCAAACCAGGCGAGTGCAGTCCCACTGAGGTGGATGACGGAGGAAAGGTGGTCGAGGAGGATGGTGTGATCGACTGTGTCAAACACGGCAGAGACGTCCAGGAGGACAAGGAGGCAGAGGGAGCCTTGATCACAGATAGAGAGGATGTCGTTTGTGACTTTCACAAGCTCAGTCTCTGTACTGTGGGCAGGGCACAAACTGGACTGGAGGGGTTCGAAGAGGGAGTGGGAGGAGAGGTTTGCGCGAAGTTGGTTTGCAACAACGCATTCTAGAACTTTTGAGAGGAAGGGCAGGTTAGAAATAAAGCAGTAGTGGCTAGGGTTTGAGGGATCTAGGGAGGGTTTTTTTTGGCGGCAGAGATGGTTGTTGTAGCAGGGGGATCGGGTGCGTTTGGAGATGGTCCTGGATTTTAGGGGGATGAGGGAGCTGAAGGTGGAGAAGAGGCGATCATGGAGCAGCTGGATGGCTGTTTCAGGATCTCCGCGGGTGGAACATCAACATGTCTCACAGGAATTGCTGTGAAGTGTAGTGACTCTTTGTAGATAAAAGTGGCAGCCAATTTTGCACACAGCAATGTCCTAGTTATCCATGAAGTGATTTTTTATCTGGAGGATTGTTGGCCAGGACACCAGGAAAAACTCCCTTCTCTTTTTGAATAGTCCCCTAGGATCTTTAATATCCACCTGAACACAGAGGTAGGATTTGGGTTTAAACTCTCATCTGAAGGACAACACCTCTGTCAATGCAGTGCTTCCCCAGCACTTCACTGGACTGTCAGCCTCGACTTTGAGTTCACTGTCCCACTGTGGAGCTTGAACCCACAACCTGCTGACTCAGAACTGGAAGTACTACCATCTGTGCTAGATAGACTTACATCTCAGATGAACTTGCAGATTAGGTTAACAGCCAATATGCAAAATGTGTGGCTTGGTTTATCCATGTGCTAATGCATTTAGATTCACTTAATCCTTTTCAATGGTGGTTAATTACAAATTGGAGGAACTGAATTCTCACTGTATTTCGTTTTCATATGGTTAACCCAACCTGAAACTGTAGACACATTCTACACGAAGCTTGCTGGTGGTTTGCAAAATCAGTTTGTTCATAATAAACATGCAAA